TTGCCACGAACCGACAAGCATAAGCGTATAGTACTTATGAGCAATTTATTTTTTGTACCTGACGTTGTGAAAAGCTTAAATGTCTTCAAGTGGAGCATTAGATGTTTCCGTTTTGATTGAACATGTTTATTTCATTGTTTACTCATTTATTTTAAACTATTAAAATCTTGAAGCGAGAATGCATTAGAAATATATTTGGTTACGTTTTCTCATTGAAAACAATGGTGACAGCAGACGGGTTTAAATTTTCATTATAATATTAGTAATATTGTTTAAAATGTGAGAACTCCAGAAGTTAATAATTGGAAAATCAAACACCCCTATTCTTTATAAAACTGTAACTAAAAAATAGGAAATGCTAACGTGGTTTAAATATAATAATTTTTAAATTGTACATTGAATTGGAAATGATAAATTTTAGCAAAAGTCCATGCTTAAATTAAGAACATCTACTATATTTAGGCATTGTTTTCGAAATATAAAGAATAGTTTATTAAAATTGAAAATATTTGCACATGTATATTGTCAAAGACTAGGCTTTTAAATATATGTAGTATAGAGCTAAAGATTCTACAACTCCCTCGGCGACCTGTACAATTTTCTTTCTCAAATTTTTCACTAGTTTTTTTCTTGTAATTTTTCATACTTCCGCGCTAGTTTTCTCCCGTCATCCTTTGAATTTTCGAAAGGTATCACACACATTTGCAATTTTAGACTATGCTGAATTGGAGACTGCCCAGAATTTTTAAATCGGATCAAGTTGAGGTGCATTTGGTAGGTCGACATATTTTGCTACAACCATAGCTGTGCACCCTCACTCATTAATGAAAATTTGAGGCTTCATTCGCAATGAAGGGATGAAGGATGATGAAGCTTCGTGAGGGAATTGGAAGATTGAAAGGAAAGAATGATGACGAGTGAGGGGAGAAAAGGATGGTGAGATAAGTGAAGGGAATGCGGAGTGAGCGCTCACTAACCTACAACATAGCAAGATACCTGCTCTCCGCTGTGCACTAACTCTGCTGCCCTACTGCGCAGCAAAAGACGTGATGAAATAGATGAGTGAGTGAGGAAAGATGAGCGAATGAAGGAGTGAGGGGAATGAAGGGTTTAAGTTTTATTTAATGGTGAGTGAGGGGAATGAAGGGTACATTTCGTCTTGATGGAAAAGAGTGAGGGTAAGTGAGGTGGAATTCGTTTGCACAGGTATGGCTACAACATTAAAATTCTTTAAATTTGGCACGCGGTCATTTTTTTTGACGTTGTTAGGTCCGGCCAAAACAAAATATTAGCATTTCTATGGACCTTGTTTATAAATGCTTCTAATCCCACCTTTCTATTACTTGTGAGATAAACCTGCTCATTAAAACTTCCTTCAGAAATGACGGGATCTAAACTTTCGCCGTGACTGGAGTTGCACTGCGAAATGCAATATTTCCTTGGAAATTTTACATTTTTTCGTACTTTTTCTTCACAAAGTAGTTCATGGGGGTCGGTCATATGAAAAATGTGGTGTCCCACAAGATTTGATTTGCTGACATATGTTTCGTCATCCTTTGTCACCACTTTTTCACATATTTTCTTCCAAAATTCCTGACAGTCATTCCGGATGCTTCCTTTTTATGTCGGCCTGTAATTTGGTGCTGGTATCTTTGAGATGCATTTGATCACCAATTCATTCACCTTAAATTTTTGATAAATAGCTTCCAGAAATTTTGACTTGGTTCGCAACAGCGACGATTGTTGTCGACAGAGAACGTTTGAATAGTTTTTGCATGCTTTTTCTGACTTTGGTGGTCTGTAGCATTACAGGGCGACACTTTGTTCAATAAATTCTACATTTTTTCAAACCTTAAACTATCCAAAGTAGCAATACCAAACAGTTTTTGAAATAACTTCTTCTTTAAAAAAGTTTCAAGTCACTTTGTAATTTTTATTTGGCTTAGTTTTAATAAACGCAATCACACTTTTTGAAGTCTCTTTTTAATCAGATGTTTAAAGACCTTGAACATAGTTAAACAACAAGTGTTATATATCAAATTAAAGCTATTGAAATGGGCTATAAGAAAATGTCTATCACAAATTTTTCGAGTGCGTGTCCCAGCATACCAAACGATTCCCCAATTAGTGCCTAAATATAGTAGATGTTCTTTATAAAACCGCTCAGAATTTGCAACATCTCCGCCTGGCCGATCGCAATTCTCTCGCACTCCCTACAATGTGTCGGAGAGCAATGCGTGTTCAAAACTCGTAGCGTTTCGCAGACCGTACCTTTGCCGAAAAACGTTCCCAACCCCCTCCAACCTTCGTGACACAACTCGCAAATATTGTACACAGGATGATTTTTTTTCTTCCCCGTATCGTCAGAATTCATCCAACCCTCACAAACATAGACTTTCACTGCCCGCAAAGATAATTGGACCAATTTCGGAAACCCGGATACACAACTCCCATTCCGGTGGATGAGGAGACAAATTCCGGAAGTGGGCCATTTTCATGTATCTCGCCTAATCTAAATGTCACTAAATAAATTTAGAACAATTTTAGTTTGCATATTTATACGGGAATCTTACTTTTTTGTGTGCTGATCTTGTTGGTTGCAGGTACAAAAGTATAGCTGCAATGAATTTAAAGTCGCTTTTATTTAAGTAAGTTTTAGTAATTTTAACACAAAAAGTAAACCAAACTAATCTTCGATTAGATACGACAAGTTCCACCGCTATTTAGTGCAAGCTTTTTCTTTTAGCTTTCTCAATGCACTGCGAAAGGAAAGTAAGAAATTCAAGAAGGCTTTTCTTGAAAAATGTGTATCTTCTAAAATTAGAAGTAAAAAATATTTCCATTGTTGTAGCATTTTCCTAAAACCACTCACCCTACGGCACGTCCACCCTGAAAAGACGGGGTTATGATACAGTATTGGAAACAAGTTAAGATTATGCGGTATGGGTGCAAGTGGAGTCAAGTCAGGTCAACCTTTCAAGTATAAATTCAAGTGTAAATAGATATCAGTTTACAAAACTGGTTTGAAATCTATGACACCAAAATTTAATATAACTATATAATCAATATAAATCGGATAAATAAAAAAAGAGAAGTGGGTAGACATTAAAACGATCCGGAGTATGTGTAGTTATGATTATAATAACAGACCAGGTATTACCAATAATAGATAGTGGAATTGCTAGCCAGGATCATTCATATCGAAACGAACTATTTTACAAAAGAGTTGCCTAATATCGAACAATATTAAGTATCTGGTCTCAAGAGATTCGAAGTTATTAACTAAAAGTGGGTTGAGCAAAGTGCATAATTTGTTCATAAGTTTATCAATATCAATTAGTTTCTTAAATTTAATGATCGGGGTCGAGGGTACAAATTCTGGCACGCATGTTGGACAAACCCATTGCTTACTTCTAAATAGCTTTAAAAAATAAGAATTAGTCATTTTCATTATGCACTTATTTCTGTGAAAAAAATTTAAACAAAATACACATTGTATAACATCCCAATCCTTAGGGCAATCGTGTTTCAGGTCATCTTTCCATATGATAGGGTAGAAATTGCCGTCGTGTACCAGCGTTTCATGAGAGGCTAGGATTTCTTCCTTGCATACATGGCAGGACGGGCCAAATAATTCGTCGTCGTCGTAGTATTTAAATTGTAGATTATTGTAGATCTCGGTATAGCGGTCGTCGTCCATATGCCCATCAAGAATTATGGCATTAGTGCTAGGGTCCGCTAGTATTATAATATCCTGGGGGGTCAGACTAGTTGAGAGCGGGTCCATATTTGGAAGGTATGATTCTTAAAAAGAAGGGCTGGTTTCTTATAGGGGGCGTCTTGAAGGAAATATATAATCTATTAGCCAGTATAATAGTTAGAAATTTGTGGGACGATATGACCTTATCTACCCCCGAATGCTCGGGGTGGGGCCCACGAAGTGGCAATGCTGATAGTTTGGAATGGACTTCACTTGGCTGAGAGAGTCTACTCCAAAAAGCACGGGGTGGAAGTCCATTATTATGGCAAAGTCGGCATGTCCAGGAAAAAGCACCAAAACGAGATAAAACAGCACACCCACTGTCACCACAATGTCTAAGGTCTTGCAGAAATGTGTGGACACTATTTTTAAGTGTGGGGGTGGTTTCTAACTGCAAAAACTTTCGAAATGGGAAATATTCCAAAGCAGGAGAAGAGGAAATATGTGTGCTCCCCTGCGCAGCTTCTAGTCTCCCTGGAGGGGTGAGAAAGGGTAATTTTGTCGAATGGCCTAAAATAAGATCGATTTTTTTTTATTTTCTAGAAGAAAACAAATATTAGACATGTCCACCTATATAGCATATAGCATATACTGCTTAGGAGTGTTCATGGCTGTTTTTAAAAACTGACAAGTACTAATCCAACAAATTTTATTTTATCTATGATAGCGGTAGTCACGGTTAACGATTATAAGCGATTCTAATCTTTAATCGCCCAAAAATAATCGTCTATTTCAACGATTATTTTGAAAATAATCTCAAACCTTGACTACCCCTATTATGAGTATGATTAAAACAAGATGGTAGTGGAAACATTGAGAAGTGTAAAATTTTGTATATAAAATTTTGAACATGTACATCAAGTGTTTCACAATATAACGGGTAAGGCATACTGTCACCGCATATAGAACAGGGTAAGAATATCTGCACTCGACACCTCAAGTGTCGTATGACATGTAATCCACGAAGTATATGTAAACATTTTTTTCACACAAATATCTATACTTACCGCCCGACCTGCCATAAGACTCGGCCCATAGTAGGCGCAGGGTTGGCGAAATGAGTCGGCATATGGTGTAAAATGGCCACTTTACATGCCTCTTAAATGCTACGGCCGTCACCGTCGGCCCAGCGTCTGAATCGAGCCAGCCCTCGATTGTTCAGTAAAATGCCATCCTCGGCCAGCATGCGGCAATTAGTCGGCTTGATATCAAAAATTATTCCCTTCCACCACATACAACATAAACTCAATTATTTATTGCATAGTGTGCAGAAGAGGTAAACATAAGTACATATTTTTATTAGGTAATAGTATACATTTGTTACGAATATCAATTATATCTACTTTTATAATTACTACTGACACTTTAGCTATGAAAATATTGATAAATAAGCTATTAAAGGGATAATCGGGAAATTTACAAACTTTGTCAACCATATAGAACATACCAGATTTTGAATCAATTAGCTGTTTCAACAAAACACACTTCCCATCATTTAAACAAAAACAATTATCATACTTATAATTAGTAAATCTAATAACATCTCGCTAAGTGACGTTCAATCTATTATCAACTAAAATTGATTCTAATTCCGATACACGTTTCGCTACATGATTTAAATGAAAATTTTTAGAATGTAACATTCGCTTTAGTTTCTGCATAAAGTTTTCAAACGGAAATGCACTAACATTAGATAAATTTCCATAATTCATTGCATCATCACAAATGTGAATTAAAGAATGCACATTATAAATTATAAATTCTAGGCCATAAATAATCCCCGCCTCTTGTACAAATTGGATCAACAACGCTCTAGCTATGTCATTCCAAGATTTTGTATTTGCACTTGGTGATAATAATATAAACATTGCTGCTTGAAGTTTTAAAAAGTTTTTAAATTTATCGGCAGGGAGAATTTTTCCTAAAACAGCAATTCCAGTATATAACAAAAATAATCTAAATTCTGTAGCCTTAAAATGGGCTAACTCGGCCAACGCTCTAGGTTTACGTTGAAAACTTTTTGGTATGAAAGGTCTAAGTTGAAGTAAATTCCGTGAACATTTTAAGACAACGAAAGAACTTAATCTGTGTGGTAGTTTACCTTTGACCCATTTGGAAAGTAATTTTCTTGTAACGCCCAAAAAAACAAGGTGCATGTGATCGAGGACAACTTGAGAAATTAATCCTACAGACAGTCTAGAAAGCTCAGTATTATGAGTATGGTGATCTGGGTCCACTTGACTTCGAAAACCTTCATCGGTCCTATTTTCACAATTTAATCCCCTAAGTATAACCCTTCCAAGCCATTCGCCTTCTTGCACACAACGCTCACAAGAATTGTAACTATTGTGTTGTTTGCAACCTTTAACAAAAGAGCGTGCAGGCGCATCTAAAATCAAACAAGAAATTTTGAAATCATATGTGACCGAACCAAAACTTATACCAAAATTTTCTAACTAATGCTTCGTCAACAAATTTCTTTAAAAATATTGTATCGGTAGGTTTTGACATACCGCAAAATATACCTATAATGAAAGGAGGAGACATTTTTGCTTGATTTAATATACCTAATATTGGCCAAAATGATTTAGTACTACTATTGCTGATCGGAACTCCATCAATTCCAACGGAAATCGACAAAATCCGCCTCCTAGTATCTGCCTGCATTTTAGCTACGATTGGAAAGTTACAATAAGTCAAATCTTGATTTAGAAGTCTAGTAATTCCACCTCGAATACCAAAATAAACGAACTCTCCACCCCCAATTTTTTCTACTTTAATACTACGAGGTGTTTTCATTAAAGTTCGTGGATCTAAAGGCAAAATGTTATTTACATGAGGATTTAAAATACTAATCAGATCTCTTACAGATGTGTGAGTAACATTGTGGGTTGTTGCCCACACTCGAAGACTATCTGGTAAAGATAAGCTTGGTGGATTTCTACGGTGCCTTTCTATTTCACTATTATCAATAATTTCAATTTGTACATCTTCAGCTATGTTTGAATCTTCATCTACTAGTATATCTACATTAGCGTTACCTAACAATACTTTTGGAGTCGGACCTATTTTTAACGGACGAGATCTTATTAACTCAATTAGTTTGGTGGCTTCATTCAGTCGTCGCCGTCTTTCCGTCCTGGATGATTTTGAGTTCATATTGTGAGATTGCGCTGGCGACGAATTTCCCTGCCGCCGTCTCTATCAGATGCGTTTTTCAACCAATTAATAATCGCCTGCTTGATCTTAGAATCTGTCGATGTTTCGAATCCCTCGTTAGCTCTAACCGATCCTAAAATGGTAAAGGAATCATTGTTAAATGAAATGAGAACAGATTGAAACAATAAAAAAGTTTGTATGTATCCTTACTAATAATAACTTTGTATATATCCGAGTTTTTGATGCCACAAACAGCTTTGGATCCCTTTCCAGTGAAGCTTACCTCCTCTGCAAATTTTTTGGTAAAAATTTCTCTCAAAATACTTGACGTGACTGCTGATATATTGTGACCACCGTGTAGGCTAAGGGATTCAACCTGAAAAGTCATAAATTGTATTTAAGAGTTGTAACTGTTTTGAATTATTTATTATGCAAGGTTAAATTTTACCATCGATTCCTTATTCTGGTCGTTGACTAGCCAGTTGTTGAGCAAGGCAAGATCCTCCTTGTTATTAAGAGGCAGCGCCGGCGCACCCACCAAAGTCGCGGCTGTTTTGCGTTGAGTTGTTCCTAGGCTGCTCAACTTTACTTTGTTACTGATTAGAATAAGCTTCTCAATAACAATTTGTTGGAATCCTAAATATGTACAGAGGTTAGGTTATACAGATCCTTAAATTATTATGGAATAATTTTATTTTTAATTACATACTCCTATTTTCTTCTTGGAACTCAGTTAGCAGGTGAGTAATTGTTTTTGTTTCACCACTTTCAATTCCAGCAATATCCGGGTTGTGGGTTGTTGTTGATTCCAGTCGTCGCAGCACGTTATCCTCTACAAAATATTCTTCGACTTGGCTATTCTCTTGACGGTCACATGTTTTCTCTGGATTCTCTAAATAAAATTAATTAAAATTATGTCTATTAGCATATTATTTCATACAATTTTAATTAACTAAAGAAGATACTTGTATAGCGTGTATATATTTAGTAGTAGTTAATGCTAATAATGCCACAAAAATATCTTAATTACAAGATTTTACATACCATTATTATTGACTGCAACTAATTGGAACTGGGATTTTGATGAACTTGAAATTGGCGAGGTCACTTGGTTACTTTCAAATGTTCCTGACTCATCACTGGAACTGTTTGGTGTGGGATACTTAACTAACGGCTTCCGCGTTTTAATTTTCTGCTTTTCCTTCACTAGTTTTTTTCTGTCGTTGACGTCGACTGTCCGCTGCATCGATGACTGACGGTTCAAGATTTGAAGTCTCTTCAGCCCTTATGGATGCCTCTCTGGCCTGTAGAAAGATTTCTGTAAATTTGAATGATTCAGTTAGTTATTAATATAATGAATTTAAAAATTTAATTTTGTAAGAAATTTTCCTTACCATATTCACCCAACACCCTGCAGGAGCAAATTAACCAATCGGAAGAAGGGGCACTATGGTTTGTCAACAATTTTGCTAATTTCTCCCCCCTCACTTTTGCTGGTGGATATCTGCACAATTGTTCTTGATTATTTTGACCTTCGCTTAATGATGGCAAAATCCATGTTGAAGAGATGACGTCAACAGCATTTTGCTCGTCCAGAAATACCACAACGACTAATTTTACCATATTTCAAGAGAAAATTAAAAAATAAATCGACTGCACCGACTGAGTATAATGGCGGACTGGCTGAGAGAGAGCATGGTGAGGAGGCAAAGTGTGGCTGGCGCTGCGACTCGACCGGTCTGCGCATACCCCGTCGTACCGTGGGCCGGAGCTTGCCCGTACGTAAAAAGATGCAGTTTCTGCAATCTAATTACCCTCGGCACAAGCGAGTGGCCCATCCACGTCGTTAAGTCGGTTGATAGCCTGAAAAAATGCCTCAACGCCGACTGAAAAAAGACGGCCGGCAAATCATCGGGCTAGCTGCGGCAAAAACCCCAACTCTCTGCCGACCTTGCCAACCCTTTTCAGAAGGTTTTAAGAGCCTATCTGGCAGATCGGGCGCTGTGCATTCTAATATTCAGATTCATGCTAAAAATCGGCCAAGTTACAAATTAACTCCTATCAGGAATTCGTAATTGCATGAATCTCAATTATCGATGTGGCATTATTTCCAACTCGGTTGTGATTTTACTCAACTAAAATGCAAAACTTCACCCGCAATAATAATAAATAAAAAAATCCCATAATTTAAAATATCTAAATACACAAATAATACCTCATTTTTATTTACCAGTGCAAACAATAAATTATTGATTTCTATATTCTTAAAGTAGATTCAATCCACAGACAGCTTTTTTACCTAATTTTAACCTTCAATCTATGTATGTATGTATGTACTTTGTAGGGTGGTTTGACAGAGTCAGCCCAGCTGCGTTAGCAAGTTATTGCTTATTGCAGACTCCCTATCTATACAGTATACCGTGGCTGTAGTAACTCAGGGTTTCACCTCAGTAGCTATAATAGTTCGGATCCCCCAACTAACTACCAAGGTTAGAGAAACCATCTTTGCGCAGTGGCAGTATCGTAAACGATGAGGTTTTACCGAGTTGCGATTATTGCTAGTTGAAAACTTTAACCTTCAATCTAATTATTCACTAAAGAAAATTAAAATCTGCAACGAATCAGAAATTACACAATTCTTCTCTTCTCCATTTCAGAACAAACATCCCTAACTTCCCATGTTTCGATTCGACATGGAAATCTAAACTTTCCTTCAAGAAATATTTCCTACCACAAAATTCACACTCGTGCGATTTCTCTCTATTCTTGTTAAATTCGGCAGCCTCATGTCTTTCCACATGATCCTTCAATTTACGCATTGTGGCAAAGCATTTTTTGCACATTTTGCACTCAAATTTCGCGTGCGACTTCTCGTGTTGATTTCGCATGCTGTCAAAGCGGAACGTTTTACCACAGATCTTGCACGGGTAGGAAACTTCAGGATGGGTCGACACCATGTGAGAGAGCTGGGCACAATTGTCGGGGAAAGTTTGTGGGCAGTGATCACATTTAAAGGGACACGCTTCCTTGCGCTGACGGCCTATAGGACAAATTAATTAATCCTTCCGCCAAATTTCAAATTATTCTGTGGCGGGGTTTTCAAAATTCGACTTTCCCATTCCACCAAATTAAATATTGACCTACCGATTTCTTCCTTTCGACACAACTTTTCATCCCGCTTATCAAGTTCAAGTTTCCCCTCGCAACCGTGCACATCGATGAGATGCTTGTCCAAAATATATATGAACCTGAACCGCTTGTCGCAGAGATTGCAGGCATGCCTGTGGCATGCATTGACATGGATTACCGCATTGATGTTACTGCAAAAAGAGGAGGCAACTTTCATAATCTTTTTTCCCAACGAACATTCTCATTTAAATTAAATGATCTAAATATGTAAGTACTTACCTCCTCGCATCACCCTTTATGACGAATTTCTTCCCGCAGTTGGGGCACGTAAAATCAGACAATTTTTCTGCGGCGGTAACACTCCCGTTATTGTCCGGCGCTTGCGATTCCTTGACAGGACCTGAATTATCGCCCGTTTCCCCGTCGTCGTCCTCCACCTCGGCATGAGATCTTTTCCTTGCAAAAGCCTCCTTTCCATTTTCTCGGATAGGGCCGCCAGTCAAGATTTGGCATTGTGGAGGAGGATTTGTCGGAAGTGTCACCTATGCAATATAAAAATTACGGGCCAGACAGTTCCCAATTTTGTTCTGGGTAATCCACTTTCTGCAATTTCACATGACCAGCTTCTAATCTAATTTATTCTTTACCTGTGACTGATGGTCAAATTGTTCCTGGTGGCTGGTGGTCGGTGCATCGTAAAATTTTGAATAATCCGAAATATCTGCGAGTGCGGCAGAAAAGTGAGCACTTTCTCCATCGATGGCTTCCAAAGGTGAAATTATATCGTGTGGAATTACTCCTTCGTCCTCGTCAGCTTCAATTTTAATCCCATATTCGATCTCTAATTCACCATTATCTTGCGAAATTGTGGAATCTTCCTCAATTTCTAAGACGTATTGCTCCGAGGATTTCACGTTCTGACTACTAACCTCTGGCAAGTCGTGTGATGTGGGTTTTTCTGTAACAAAAAGCACATAAAATTATCAATGAAGTACTAATTAAATCTCCTTAATTTCCGCTTTTTATTGGAAATTTGCAAAATCATTTCTAATTTTTGCACGAATAAATATTCAAACTGACTCATTTAATGCTGTAGCTGTAATATCTGTACAAATTTTCTATTCTACCCTCTCAATATTTTTCATTGTTAAATTTATTTAGAAAAACAATAATTCGCAAATTTGCAAATATCTTACGTGGTGGTGGAAAGTGTGTCCATTTCGCTAACTCCGCTACCATTCCTTCCAGAGAGGTGACACGTTTCAGCAATTCGTTCACTAATTCAGCCACCAAGGCGGATTAATAATTTCTAAAATAATTCCCATGAATTAATTCCTACCCAGAAGAAAATACAGCTGCAGAATTTGACAATAATAATATTGACACGACACGGATTCTGCTTCACTCCGCTGCTCATATTCTCTTGGGAAAGGTGAAACTCTTCAGCCTGCGTATAAATAACTGCATTCTTATCTCATGATTCTCAAAAAAGATTGAATTATACTACTCGCAAAAAGTAAGCTTCCCAATCTGTTCTGATTTACGAACACTCTTTTCCCAATTTGCGTCTACTAGCCGGATGTATTTATTCATATGTAAAAAAAAATAAAAATATAGGATGTTAGCTGCATAAGTGCCAATTTTAAATAAAAAAACGCTCATGTGTCGAAACCTTAAAGTAAAAATTTTATGACCGTCTCCTAAAAATAGAGATGTATGAATGAAGGGAATTTTCCAATGTAATAACACATGACTATTTAAAGATTTCACAGCAGGAAATTATTTCCTGGATACACAACGTACAATATTTATTAAAGAGATAGATTTTATTCGTTAAATTCAACCAATCCGATATCGTACGCAAATAAAAATCCTCATAAAATTTATTCAAGAAGACAAACACCATTATGAACTTCTTTAAAGTGACGGCTAAATTTACTACTATTATACTCTTTCTTACAAATGGGACAAATGTGAAACATATATCCGTCTACAAATTTTGTAAAATCACGATGATCCGCCAGCCAATGGGCTATGCGATCTTTGTTCCCAGAAAATGTTCGAGGACAATAAAAACAACGACGAACAAAAATTACATTACTTTTAACCTTTACGTTACTTTTACCAGTTCTATCAGAATGTTTCGTCACCATGTGAGAATCGAGGCCACATTTATCGCGAAAAGATAGCGGGCAGTGGGAACACGTCAAACGGATCCTGTCTTTGTGACGACGGCCTGAAACAAAATTAGTTATTTATCAATCTTTCAGCCAAATGCATATTTATCAAATTCTACAGTGATAGTGTCTCGTTGGTAGTGTTCTCACGCCAAAATATATATTTTAGCACCTCGTCGTCGAAAGGAAATAGAAGGCTAAATAATTTCAAGGGGAGCGGAACCATGTGGATAATTCACTTATCGAAAGGTTTAGATTAGTTGGCAAGATGGTCTCTTCGCTTACCAAGTTCAATTGTACTTTTTGAAGACGATCCCACATTGCCCGCGCTTCCCTGGCGAGGTCTCTTTCCTTGAAATGTCCCCTTGTCTCGTACTGGGCCGCCCGTTAAGACCAGCGTGGGAGGATTTGAGGGAGGTGTCACCTAAAAAATGATAAGCCATAAATTGTCTATTTCTGCCACACTTTTTCCAATTTAACAGCCCTTGCTATACATATTTAGTATATTTACACTGCGTTAAGTATGTAATACTCGCGAATTAATTGTTTACCTTTGGGGTCGCTGGACCGAAAACTTTTGAATAATCCGAAATATCTTCCAGAGCTACGGAACAGTGAGCACTTTCTCCATCGATTGCTTCCAGAGGTGAAATTACGCCTTCATCCATGTCAGCTTCAATTTTAATCCCATATTCGATCTCTAATTCTCTATTATTTTTGGAAATTGTCGAGTCTCCAAATTCTGGAATGCATTCCGAAGGATTTCACATTCTGACGGGTAACCATTGTAGAGTCGTTTAGTGTAAATTTTTCTGGAATTAAAAATAATATGCCAAATATTAAAAATTAATTTATATATTAACAAGTCCCATAAATATATTAAATTTAGAAATTTAATTGCATCGAGAGTTTGCATACTAAAAAACGAAATCAACAATTACCCATTTTCGTATCTTTTTTAATTCGCAAACTAATTCTTTGCCATAAGAAATAATTTCTGAAACTGCCTTATTTAACGTTGCAGTCCTAGTCCCGATATCCAATTATTATATACTAATATTTATCATTTCTCAAATAATTTGGGAAATTGGAAAAAAATAAAATACACATTTTTTTTCCCACAAAAACCATACCTGGTATTGGGAAGTGTGTCCATTTTGCCATCTCTGCCACCATTTCTTCCAAAGAGGTGACACGTTTTAATAATTCATTAACTAACTCAGCCACCATGACGGAATAATAATTACTAAAATTGATTCCCTCAGAAACAGATAATTCTTGCCCAGAAAAAAACAGCTGCAGAGTAGATTGGCAATAATAATATTGACACGATATTATGTATTCTGCTTCACTCCGCTGCTCACAATTCTACTCTTCAGCCAGGGTAAAAGACAACCTGCTCAGTAACAGGCTTTTTCTATTTTTTCCCAGCACGTCAACTAGCTGGATGTGTATGTGAAAGGTATATTTTAGCAGACACGCATATGTTAAATAAAAAGAGCTCGTGTCCTTACAAGATAGGAGGAGGTGTCCAAAAAACTTTATGACCGTCTCCCAAATTTAGGTATAGGGCACGCATACCGTTTTCTGAAATTTCGAAAACTTTTTGAAATATCGAGGTTTAAGTGTACGACGCCAATTAATTACTAAATACCACCGTAAATAATTTGGGTGAATGATAGAGAAAAACTGGCGACATGGTTATATCCACAGGTGGAATAGCTACAACTTTTGTTGAAATTTTTTTCCATACAATGCCTCGCTGAGGCACGAAAATTCAAAATGTCGATTTTCGGATCATTTCATTCAGAAAAGCATGTCGAAGTTTTGACTTTTCGTCGATATTCTCAACGGAATCATATTCCTGAGGGGTATGCAGAGGGCCCTCGTCAGGACCTTCTTTTCGAAATATGGCTTCCCTAAGGCGCCACGCTCGAATCTTTGAAAAGTTTCACAATTTCATCTGCTAATTTCCAACCAAAGCCACAGCCAAGTTGTTACATTTTTGCGATTAAAATAAAGCAGGACCGTCTCGGGGATGGCTTTACACAGATTTCCCCTCTTTTCAACTTTTTCCAAATCGGCCTGGTTTTGAGTTATCACGGGATATCTCAAATTCTAGAATTAATGTGTATAATCGTGAATATAACATATTTAGTGTGAAAAACAACCTGTTTTTCCGCGGTTTTACCGCACAACTTGTTACGTTCCTACAAATGTAAATCGCATGATTTTATATGTATGTAAATATAATCTGTACTTATATGTTGACAATGAAAACTATATGTTAATATCGACTTTTTCTACCATATTATGCACCGCTTTATATAAAATACGAGGCGAAAGTTGAGTGGTCGCCCACCTACATATTCCATGCTAAAATTCTTTAACGGGTGATGGATGGAAGTGGATTTATATTCCTACTTTCAATTGTCATAATTCTGCGGTAAATTAAGCATTTTTTGATAATTTTTTCAAAAGGCGCACCAAGTCATTTAAATGATTTGATCCACCAAATCGAACACTTTCATGGTGGTAAATATTCCCCTCGCTCATTTTTATGCCAACAAGAGGAAGGAATTTGCCATCTAATTATTAGTCAGCCTTTGTATGTATGAGAAAATCGTTAATTATGAAACATATTATATCGATATATGATCGAGTTTTGCAGCAAACTAATAAACCGGTAATAGGAGTCCCCATTTAAATAAAACATAAATTGAAAAAGTAAAAACTGACTACATACTTTATTCTATGAGATTTATAACTAAGAGCCGAGTTTTCTTAAAATATTTCTCATATTGCTTGAGAAATTTTATTTCAGCAAATTTTCACAGAGCCAATGCTCCATTTAATTATTTTAATCTATAAAATAATTTCGGTATAAATTGTATTTATCAATCCGAATAGATAAATAACGAATTCTACGTATCCACAAATAATCGTCACTTTGTTGAACTCGAATGACAGGCCGATGTGGTTGATAATTTAACATTAAATAAAATACGTGTTTAGGTTGAACTGGGAGAAAGTGAGTAAAACATGGGTATGTGTAGTAATTTCCCCTCAAGTTTGAAGTGAGTGCACCATTTGGCCTTACTACGAATACCTCAGCTACGATGCATAAATCAAAGTGAGAGAGTGTGAGTATCCTGCAATTTTTACCCGAGTTTGTCACTTTGTCATCGGGCTGACGCTCGCTTAACTTGCTTCGGATAACCATGGACACCAATTCCCGGAACCATAAGGTGTGAATTTTCACGCTTACATATACCTGATCCAACCGGATCTCATTACACCGATATCTAAGATTATCTGCTAGGCATTGTTTTTGTAAAGTGATTATTTTAGAAATGGGTTGTCCCTGCATTTGTACAGATTTGCAACGCGGTGTCAAACTTATGGCAGTTATCACCTTGGTAATATCATTATATAAAGGATTTATTCATTTTTTAGATTTCGCTATAGAAAAAAAGTAAAATCCTCCTCATTTCCAGCTATTTAATGGAATATGTTGCATAACCGTAACGTCAGGATTGCTCTTCCTGGTGTTCTTATCTTTCCAACCAACTGTTACAAATCCCGGAAAGCAATTCTTTCTGGGTGGTATTGCAACTTCTTATACCGTTAATTTATTTAAAAATTCAACTATAGTTTCTTCCGTGGTAATTTGCAGATGTTACATTCATTAATTATGAAACTGCTGGTCTGGAAGTCATAATCCGCAAGTTTGGGGTGACTGCGTGGATTATGTTTTTCATCATGATTCTCTTCGACTTTGCTGTGCATTATGCTACAGCTGCTCTCTTACTAAATGCGGCGGAAAAGGTAAACAAATAGCTGAATTATTAACTCTTTACTTACTAATTTTATTACATTTTGTAAATAAATATATATAATAGAGAAACAAATACTTGTGCAAAATATGGATTGGATTACAGTATATTATCTTACTTGACGAAGTTATCGTCTGGTTGATCTTGTACGTGTTCGAGTTCCCAGATTCATTCGGACTAAACGCATCACTCCCACTAATGTCATTTCTGGCAGTCACACTCGTTGAAATATGTGTCGTCGCAGGGTTCCTCAAGCAACTTGACACTGAAGAACAAAACATCTTGCAAAATTCCATAGCAATGGTTGAAACTGTGGAAAGGTTAATCTAATAATGTCTTATAAACAACACTTGGAAAATTTACTAATGGTTTACTAATAATTCTATATACGGAAAACCTGTGGAATAACATTGTACCTGTAATGAAGACAATAATTATAAACACTGTCCAAAATACGGGAAATTATATCATTTCTTGTGACTAGTTATAAGACATTGCTCTGTATATAGTCAACCATTTATTTTTGTTTGTGCAATATTTTGGAATCTATATAATTTTGAATTATATAGCAAGCAAAATAATAATTTCTATACCCAGTAAATTAAAAGCGAATTAAATTATTAATACAGAAAATATATTAATACTATATCTGATTAGATTATTTACTTATTTCTTAGTAATTCTAAATCATGACTCAACATCACCATTTTTATGAAAACAATACATATTTCTTAGATCCGCTAATTTTTTTAACCTAGTTTAAAGGTCAATTTATTCGAATTAGTGCATCAACATTAAACGAATAGTAAATTTGGCACATAACCCAAGCATTACCAAGGGTGTTGTAATTTCCATGAAGTTACTGCCAAACTTAATTTTCATCGAGGAACAAGATTTTACCTTTCTGCCTAGCCATCTTCTATTTCTCTTATCTACCTTCGTATCCAGCAGAATTTTAAGTGACCAATTCTTCACAAATTTGTTAATACAGCTTTTAGACCATTTGCTAACCAAGCCGGCAAACGACCCAACGAGTAAAATTGTTAGTATTGTTAGTAGGAAGGATAAGGGAAATACAAGGTACCCCATGTTTGTAAAGAATTCTGAACCCATCGATACAGTGATATTTGTGGAGAGTATATTAACTAGGACGAGGAGGAGAAGTAGAATCGGCAGAACCCAATTTCTGAAACACGTATTAATTTGCACTACCAATACTTGCAGTTGTTGATTAACTTGTAAAATTTCGATCATTCGCTTTATCACGACTTGTGGTTGGTTGGATGCTCTAAAACCAGAATAAAGACAAAAAAATATACAGTCAGAGTTGACGAGGTTCTAAATTAATTATGCGGAATATCATTCTCCAATGGTCGCTACGTCTGGCTAGTTTATAGTAATTGGCGCTTATTAATCAATTTCTATGCTAAAAGGTGTACATATTAATTACAAATATATATTCTTATTCATGGTACCAAAGTTACAAAATAAGTTACCTTTTCATGAAAGCCAATCGTTCCACAATGCAATGCAGACATATGCTGAAAACAGTGAACACTAGGAAAGAGATGGTCAACGTCATCGCGCTCACAAACCAAATTTGCACCATGAAAATCAATATTTTCCCAAGTCTGATCATTGGACCCAATTCGGTCTTTAAGGAAGTTCCCAGAAATGGCGGTTGTTCCAATAAAATTAAGGTGCTCAAGCATCCCACCCCAATAAAATTCTGGGAAAGCCCCAACATATTTGTAATCTTCAAGAGGAAGGCCCAGGTTGCGCGGAGAGGGGCTGGAGGATCTGAAAAATATGAATCTAATCAATTTGTGCTGTTTTCGAATTTTTGATTGAAAAGACTTCAAGCACAATTTATTGTCCAGTGCTATATTATAAAGTGTAAATAAGGTTCGTATTATTCAATATTCTTATAAAGCTTTCTAAGCATAATTGACAGCCAAATTATTTCTTGAACAAATTATTTTATCCCAATCATAAATTGTTACCTACCCAAAGCTCTTTCTTCTTTTCTGAATTTTCTCACTCCGTTCAATAACGATGTGAAGATGTCTGGATGGAGGAGCAAGGGGAAGTATGAGACGAATATCAAGGAAAAACATATAAGAAACAGGCAGCACAAATTCGTCTCTAGTACACTTTGCTGGGTATATGTGAGCAGGTACAGTCCATTCATACAAATTGCAGCCAGGATAGAAATGCAGATGCCGATTTTCAACCTGGCAAGACATGTGGTGCCTGTGCATATATACATATCCTGTATAGGATCATATTTGAAGGAATGTACATTAAAAATAGGGGGAATTTTATCGTATAATGTTCCGATTTTGGTGCAGTAAAAGCAATGCGTACGAACGTCCATAAAGTCTCATTGAGACTCATTGAGACGTCCGTATGCCGCCATACATGTACACCTTGTGAATCTTCCTCCAACCTCGTGTCACACCAAATAAATAATTACTCGTTTTCTCCGAAGTTTGGTTTTTTTTTTGGATAAGTGAGGTAAGTTTATCCATAGTTATAGTATAAATATAATTAAATG